CTCCTCCATATCCTCATCTCCTCTTCCTCTTCCTTCTCCTCCTCCTCCTCTTCCTCATCCTCCTCCTTCCTCCTCCTCTCCTCCCTCCTCATCCTCCTCTTCCTCCTCCTCCTCCTCCTCCTCCTCCTCGTCCTCCTCCTCCTCCTCCTCCTCCTCCTCCCTTTCTCCTCCTCCTCCCCCTCCTCCTCCTCTTCCTTCCTCCCTCCTCCCCTGGCCTTGACGTCGGTTCTCAGGCGGTGGATCTAGATAACTCCCCGCCCCGCAAAACGTGTGGGTGCTCGTGCGGGGTCTATGGGTGCCGGTCGTTCGGGCAGCGGGCCTCTCTCTCTCTGGAGCAGGAGGAGGAGGAGGAGGAGGAGGAGGAGGAGGAGGAGGAGGAGGAGTCTCCCTCTCTCTCTCTCATCCTCTCTTCCCCGAGTTGCTAACCCTCCCCGATCGGGCGGCCTGCGGACACTCCTGCTCCTGCGGTCTCGGCACCGCCTCCCCGCTCCTGTCCGGCGGTTTCTGGTCTCACGTTGTGGAATCAGAGGGGGAAACACGCCTGGGGTTTGTGCCTATTTATTTGTGTGTCCCTGGGCCCCTTTAGTGGAGCCAGTTGCGCGTCGGTCCCTTCTCTGAGGAAGAGACATCCCGCCCAGGGCCATGCGGAGCGCGCTCGGCGCGTCTCTGGCTCCTGGCCTTGAAGCTGGGCCCCCGACCACCAGGAGTCGTCGGGCCGCCACAGGAACCCTTGGGGCCTCCAGAGAGAATTCGCTGGATTACTCCAGGGGCCACGGGATCGCCCCTGAAGTACTGGGGCACCGCGCTAGGACGGGGCTAGGACGAGGACAAATCCGTTCCAGAGCGTTCAGGAACGCTCTCAGAGTGTTCCAGAAGGCTCTGAGAAGGCCGCGGCGCCCGAGACATCCTCCAGAGCCGCCGGAGATCTCAGAGACTCTCGATGTATCCCCACCCAAATTTATCCTCGTCCTCGCTTCGTCTTGCGTAGGTGACGCCTCCCATCACGGCTGCGAGCAGTCCGCTGTCGTGCAGCACACGGTGCCCCGCTGCGCCTTCGGGCGAGAGGCCCCGCCTGGGTCGCTCTCTTGCCCAGGCCCTTTGAGTAGCGCGAGCCGCCTCGCGCTTGCATTGATGTCGTTGCTCGCAGAGGTGGAACAGGTACACATCGGTCGCTGAAAGTAGGTATTTTTGGATTCCCAGATTCCAATCTACTTTCAGCGCCTTCCTACTTCAAGGGTCGAGTGGTTTATCCTCTTGCTTCCTCTTCAGGAGGCGGACGGAAACCCAATGTATTTCCAACGCCTTCCTACTTCATGTTTCTACCTACTTCTTCCGACCGATGGGTACCCATCCTCTTCCCTTCCCTCGTTTTCCCTTTTGGGGGGCCTCCTTGGAGGCCCTCGTCGCCACAGCTGGAATCGCCTCGAAGTCCTCGTCAGAACTCACCCCAGGAGAGGTCCAGGGAGTAGCGGTATGGGTACTTGTTGGTTTTCCCATGCTCCATGCGTGCGCATCCGCGTTGGCCCTGCCACGCGTGCTCGCCTTCTTGCCCCTGGCGCTCCTGGCCTCACCGTTCGGTGCCAGCTCCTGGCGGTGCCTGGCGGCGTTCGGGCGGCGTAGTCCGTGCGGGCAGACAGCTGTCGTCTGGGTCGCTGGTGTCGTGGGCTGTCCTCGTCCGCACACTGGCCAGGGGCCCAGTCTGGCCAAACTCGCCTGGTGTTTATGACACTGCGTGCGCCTACAGGCGCGGTCCCGGTCCTGGTCACACTCTCGGCTCTGATCCGCGGTGCTCATGGCCGTTTCGGCTGCCTGATGTCTTCGCCACGCCGCGCTGACTGCTGACCAGGGCCTGCGAGCGGATTCAGCCACGGCGACGAGGGGGCGGGTCCAGGAGCCCCCAGTAAGGCATGAGCCGCTCCGCCTCCTCCGCCTCCTCCTCCTCGTCCTTCTCGTCTTCTGTTGCTTCTTCATCTTATCCTTCTTCTTCTTCTTCTTCTTATTCTTCATCTTTTTCTCAATGTACTCCTTCTTCCTCTTCTTCTCCTATTCCTTCTCCTTCTTCCTCTCCTTCTCCCTCTCCTTCTCCCTCTACTTCTCCTTCTCCTTCTCCTTCTCCTTCTCCTCCTTCTTCTCCTTCTCCTTCTCCTTCTCCTTCTCCTTCTCCTTCTCCTTCTCCTTCTCCTTCTCCTTCTCCTCCTCCCTTCATGCACCTTTCTCAGGAGTCTTCCCCAGACCTCTTCCAGGGCTCGTTGTGACCATGAGTTCTACAAAAGCGGATCCAGCTTCGGCGACTAGGGAGGACCCAATGTGCCCCCAAAACGATAATGCATTGGCTTCTCCTAGTCCCTCCTCCTTGCCGTGGACGTCGTTCTCTTCTTCGCGTTCTTCTCCTCCCCCCTCACCCTCCATGCAGTTCGAGCGGCCGACCACGCGGGCTCGCGATCCTCTCGCCGTCATGGCGGAGAACGCGAAGGTCCGGAGGCTGGAGGCGGAGAGGGAGGCGCCCTCAGCGGCTCCGGATCGATTCTCCCCTTCCTTCCTCCTCTTCCTCCTCTCCCTTCCTCCCTGCTCCCTCCCTGCTCCCCCTTTCTCCCCCCTCCTCCCTCATCTTTCTCCCTCCTCCCTTCTCCCCTCACCTTCCCCTCCTCTTCCTCCTCCCTCCTCCTCCATGCTGCTCCTCCTCTTTCCCCTTCCTTCTCCCTTTATTTTCCCCTCCTCCTCCTCTTGCTCCTCCTTCTCTTTCTGCTCCTCCTCCTCCTCTTCCTCCCTCCTCCCTCCTCCCTCCTCCCCTCTCGTCCCCTCCCTCCCTCCCTCCTCTTCGTCTCCCATGACCCTCTTGTTCGCTGCGCCCCTCTGTCGTTGCTGCGCAACCTCTTGCCGGACAAAATACGAAGTCCAAGTAAGTCCTCATCCTTCGTCCTCCTCGTTACTCCTCCTTTTCCTTCCCTTTTTCTTTCTCGTCGCCCAACCTTTGCTCCACTTCCTTCACCTCCCGACTCGCGGGCGGAGGTGGGCCACATCGAGCCTCGAGAACCTCAGAAAAGTCTCCAGCATGGTTAGCGATCTCCGCCGAGGAGAAGGATTTGGTCGAGGAAAGAAACATGGGGGCTGAGTGAGGGGTTGGGTGATGATAGTGATGATGATGAGGATGATGATGAGGAAGAGGATGAAAGGACAAATGGAGAAAACATGCGGGGGGCACCAACCTGGTCAGGAGCTAAGCACAAGTTTGCTTTTGATATGTTGTCGTGTTGTGGCCTGATCTGGTACAATGCTCAATTTTGTCCTGTGCGTTGTATTGTTTGATTATCCTGTCCTGGGCTGGGTTATGCTATGATCGACTGTTCCATGGAATATTGGCCAATGCTTACGTCTACTGTCGACGTTTCTTACACTCCTCCGTATTCTTCGTCCTCGCCTTCTCCAGTTGTTCCTTCCTCCTATTCATCATTTGTCCTCCCCCTCTTTTTCCCTCCCCCTCCTCCTGTACTCGTCCTTCTCTTCCACCTCAGCTTCCCCCCAACTCCTTCTTCTCCTCCCCTCCCCTCCTCCCTCCTGCTCCCCTCTCTTGCTCCCTGCTCCCTCCTGCCCGTCCTCTCGTCTCCCCACTCCCTCCTGCTCCTCCTCGTTCCCTCCCCTTCTTTTGAGGTGGCGACGCGGCGCGTCGCTCCAATCGCCCGCTTCCCGCCTGGCGAGTGGCGGCACCGCGCTTTCACACGGGAAAGCACGTCCCAAGTGCACGGGTGTCAGACGCACGTTCGATACTCCCTCGGCCGCTTGTTCAACGTGCGGAGAGTCCGCCAGCCGCATGCCAGATAACCGGCCGTGGCGCCCAGACACGTCAAAATGAGTGCCACATGCACAGGGTGGCAGACGCGTGGAGGGACATCTCCGCCCCGCGCACATATTTTGATGTGTGAACTTGGCTGGGCAAGAGAGTGAACCGTCGCTTTTGTCCACTCGGTTTGTAAAACGAAAAAAGAACAGAAGAGGTACGATATACCGACAATGAAGCGCATGATGATGATAATGATGCTGATGCTGATGATGATGATGCTGGTGGTGGCGATGATGTTGATGATGCTGATGGCGATTATGGCGATGCTGATGATGCGGCTGATGATGCTGCTGATGATGATAATGATGAAACTGATGGTGACGATGGCGCTGATAATGATGCTGATGCTGACGACGATGATGATGATGCATACGATGTCGATGCTGATGCTGATGATGATGACGATGACGATAACGATGACGAGGACGGTGGTGGTAATGATGGCGACGCTGCCGATGCTGCTGATGATGCTGCTGATGATGCTGGAGGTGTTGTTAATGATGCTGATGATGCTGCTGCTGATGATGATAATGATGATGCTGGAGATGTTGTTAATGATGATGACGATGATGATGATGATGCTGATGCTGATGATGCTGATGCTGATGATGCTTATGATGACGACGAGAATTCTGCGGCTGTTGCTGCTGCTGATGCTGATGCTGACGATGCTGCTGAGTCAAATCTTGATGCTGGCGACGATGAGGATGATGATGCTGCTGCTGCTGATGATGATGATCATGCTGGTGATGATGATGATGATGATGATGATGATGATGATGATGATGATGATGATGACGACGACGATGACGATGCCGACGACGAGGACGACGACGATGATGACGATGATGCAGCTGATGCTGCAGATCATGATGCTGAAGATGATGATGCTGGTGATGTTTATGCTGATGATGGTGATACTGATGATGATGGTGATGATAATGATGATGAAGCTGACGATGCGGATCACGATTATGATATAAGGATGCTGATGGTGATGGTGGTGGTGATGATGATGCTGATGACGAGGATGATGATGATGCTGATGCTGTTGCTGTTGCTGATGCCGATGATGATGCTGATGATGAGGATAATGATGATGAAGCTGATGCTGCTGATAATGATTATTATTGACGATGGTGATGCTGTTGATGATGATGAT